TACAAATCCATGCACTTTAAATATGCAGAACAGGCAAATCATTAGGGACAAAAGGCACACAGACAATTGTCAGAAGTTGGGGGAAGGTTGAAGGGGAAGTGACTGTCAAATGGATAGTGGCTTTCTTTGTGAGGAGATGCAATGCTCTGATTTAGGTAGTGGTGATAGTTGCACAACTTTGTAAACAGATGATAGATCATTCAGTTGTACATTTTACAGGATAAATTTTATGTGAATTAGATTTCAACTTAAAAATTGTGATAGATAAAGGATTCCTTTTTTTTTTTTTAAGATTTAACAGAAGCAGCACATATTGTTCTGACTTTTATTTGGTTCTCACTCTTCTAACATCTGTAGGCAAACAAAAATCACCCTAAAGAGAATGAGCACTGTTTATTGCACTCTTGCTCCATAATGTGAAGGAGTCAGTTACCACCCCTTTTGTTTGGCAGAGACTCGGGCATTGTGGTTGCTGTTGTTCAGTCACTAAGTTGGGTCCAACTCTGCGATCCCATGGACTGCAGGACACCAGGCCTTTCTATCCTTTGCTATCTCCCAGAGTCAGGCATAGGCATGGGAAAGTTTTCTGGCAGAAAAAAAGGCAGCACATTGTGATCAGAGATGTGATGCAGGAAAGATGAGGGAGGACTGGATAGAAGATGGGCCTCCTCTATGTGTGTCTGAGGGACATATTTGGTTTCCCCCTTTTGGTTCTAAGTAGGAAGGATGATTAAAAATAAGGAAGCTCTCAGTCACTGATTAAAGTCTGACTATTGAGGTTTAACCCTGCAGGGGTTGTGACTGGGCTTTCTGGGTTGGTTGCTACAGATTATGGATTAAGGCTTCACAGATTCGGCTGAGAAGTTCCTTGGCTCCAGGTGGATTTAGAAAATTCTGTATATAGAAGCTGTTTCGTCTTGGTCTTCAATCAGATACTCTTGGGATTGAGAAATATTATTCAGAGTTTTTAATGACATAATAACTAAAAATAACTGCAAGCAACACAGTTACAAAGATAACAATTACTGGGTTTCCCTGGTGTCTCAGTGGTAAAGAATCGACCTGCCAGTGCAGGAGAGGCAGGTTCGATCTCTGGGTCAGGAAGACCCCCCGGAGAAGAAAATGGCAACCCACTCCAGTATTCCTGCCTGGGAAATCCCATGGACAGAGGAGCCTAGCAGGCTACAGTCCACAGGGTCGCAGAGATTTGAATATGACTTAGCAACCAAACAAAAGAAACAAATGCTCCCACGTACCCAGTCATATGGTCAACCTTCCAGGATGTTTCACAAGCTGCTGCTTATAAAGATCCTGTTGTCAAAAGCCAGAACTAAGAGTGTTCCCAGAAACAAAGATGAGCCACACCTCCTGCCTCTCCACCCATGTCCACCATGTGTCAACTTCAATTATCCAAAGCAGGAGTGGTGGCCACTTTTGTATTTTTATACTGACTGTAAAATGTCTGGAAGCAAAATTACGGGATTATATTTGATGTATATACATCTTGGTGTATGTACATCTTGGTGACTCTAGTGGTGGTAAAAAAAAAAAAAAAAAGCCACCTGCCAATGTAGGAGTTGTAAGATATACTGGTTTGATTCCTAGATCAGGAAGATCCCCTGGAGGAGGGCACGGTAACCCATTCCAGTATTCCTGCCTGAAGAATCCCATGGACAGAGGAACCTGGCGGGCTACAGTCCATACGGTCACACATAATCGGACATGACTGAAGTGACTTAGCATGCGGGCACAAATGTACATCTTGAAATTCCAAAACAATGCTTGAGAGAGCATGCTGAATATTTGTATTTTTTATCTTTTCAAATATTCAAAAAAACATTTTCTATTTCAGAATTGGAATGAATTTTTAGTTTATTTTTCATTCCATAATTCTGTAAGTTAAAATTACTCACTGTAGCATATAAACAAGAAAATATCAGCTGCATGAACATCATAAAATCTTACCTTTACTTGAACAGAGGCTTTCACATGTCAAGTGACTCTGCTTGTTGATTTTCTTTCAACAAAAGGATTCCGGGACCATGGTACCTTTGAGTTATAGGTTTGTCATCAACAACCTGTGGTTTCAAATCTGGCCCTGGCACTGGGTCTATTCTGCTCAGCTAGAGAGGGAAAAGGATGCCTTGTGGGACGTGTTCAGAGGCCAGGCCTGTTCAGAGCCAAAGGAACTTCTACTCAATGTAGCTTGGCCAGAACTCACGGGCATGGCCGTCCCTGGGATCTGGGCGGCTGGAACAAGAGTCTGTTGCATGTTGAGTTGGAAAGAAGTGAGAAGCTTGGTGACTAGGGCTCTACACTCTGTGTACAAATATGAACTTTAAAACAAATGTCTTTCTTATCCACATTTCATCCGATGAAAAAGGTGACTCACTCTCTGATTCTACTAATTAACCCTGGGGAAAAGATCTGTATGAAAAGGCCAAGCGTATCAATCAATGCTCTCTGAAAGGAAAAGTCACACTGATTCCCAAGAGTAAAGCTGGAACATGTCCAAGATTAAAGCTATCCAAAAGATTTTAAAAGATAAGATGAATGTGTTTAGAAATATTTAAATATGAGTTGCCCTTGGTGCAATAGAATGGGAAAGACTAGAGATCTCTTCAAGAAAATGAGAGATACCAAGGGAACATTTCATGCAAAGATGGGCTCAATAAAGGACAGAAGTAGTATGGACCTAACAGAAGCAGAAGATATTAAGAAGAAGTGGCAAGAGTACAAAGAATTGTACAAAAAAGATCTTCACGACCCAGATAATCACGATGGTGTGATCACTCACCTAGAGCCAGATATTCTGAAATGTGAAGTCAAGCGGGCCTTAGGAAGCATCACTATGAACAAAGCTAGTGGAGGTGGTGGAATTCCAGTTAAGCTCTTTGAAATCCTAAAAGATGATGCTGTGAAAGTGCTGCACTCAACATGCCAGCAAAGATGGAAAACTCGGCAGTGACCACAGGACTGGAAAAGGTCAGTTTTCATTCCAGTCCCCAGAAAAGGCAATGCCAAAGAATGCTCAAACTACCACACAATTGCACTCATCTCACTCACTAGCAAAGTAATGCTCAAAATTCTCCAAGCCAGGTTTCAATAGTACATGAACCATGAACTTCCAGATATTCAAGCTGGATTTAGAAAAGGCAGAGGAGCCAGAGATCAAATTGCTGACATCTGTTGGGTTATCAAAAAAGCAAGAGAGTTCCAGAAAAACACCTGTTTCTGCCTTATTGACTATGCCAAAGCCTTTGACTGTGTGGATCACAACAAACTGGAAAATTCTTCAAGAGATGGGAATATCAGATCACCTTACTGCCTCCTGAGAAATCTGTATGCAGGTTCGTCAGGAAGAAACAGTAAGAACTGGGCATGGAACAACAGTTTGGCTCCAAATCGGGAAAAGAGTACATCAAGGCTGTATATTGTCACCATGCTTATTTAACTTATATGCAGAGTACATCATGCAAATGCAGGGCTTTTGCATAACTTAAAGATGAGTAAATAATTATTTATTTGTAAATATACATTTTTTTTCTGAGTGCATCATGCAAAATGCCGGGCTTTAGAATAACTAAAAGATGAGCAAATAATTATTTATATACTAAAATTGAGATAAGATACACATAACCTAAAATTTAGCCTCTTAGCCACTTTAAGTGGCCAGTTCAGCTGTGACCTGTGCGTTCACATTATTGCATAACCCAGCTCCAGAACTCTTCTTGCAAAACTCAAAACTCTGCACCCACTGAACCAGTCCCCATTTCCCTATTCCCAGCCTCTGCCCACCACTATTCCACTTTCTGTGTCTGTGAATTTGACTACTTTGAGTCAGTAAGTACTCTAGGTACCTCATCGGCTTCCCTTGTGGCTCACCCAGTAAAGAATCCCCCTGCAATGCGGCTGACGTGGGTTCGACCCTGGATTAGGAAGCTCCCCTGGAGAAGGGAAAGGCTACCCACTCCAGTATTCTGGCCTGGAGAATTCAGGCCATGGGGTCTCAAAGAGTTGGACATGACTGAGAGAATTTCACTCCCTGGGTACCTTATATAAGTGGACGTAAGTATTTACCCTTTTGCGCTTGGCTTATTTCATTTAGCATGATGTCCTGAAAGTTCATCCATTCTGTAGCCTGTGCCAAAGTTCCCTTTATGTTTTCAGTCTGAACAAGATTCCAGGTTATGCAGTCTGTTTATCCAGTCATCTGTTACTGGACACTTGGGTTCCTTCCACCTGTGGGCTATTGTGCATCATGCAGCTATGAACCTTGCTGTACAAATATCTGTTCAAACTTCTGCTTTCAGTTCTTTTGAATATATACCCAGAAGTGGAATTCCTGGATCATGTGGCAATTTTATTTCCAATTTTTGAAGGACTGGCCATGGTGCTTTCCACAGTGGCTGTACTATACTATATTGTCAGGAACTCTGCCCAAGATTCAATTTTCACCTACATTCTCACCAACACATCTTATTTCTGTCTTTTGATACTTGCTATCCTAATGGGTAAGAAGTGGCGTCTCACTGTGAGTTTTATTTGCATTGAGCATTCTTCTCTGTGCTTGTTGGCCATTTGTATATCTTCTTAGAGAAATGTCTATTGAAGTAGGTCCTTTCGGATCTTCTGTGGATATTATATTTAAGTGGTAGTGAGAACATGCAACAGTAGTCTAGTGAGATCTACACTCTGAACAAATTTCTAAGTGTAGAACATAGTGTCATTGGGCCTTCCCTGGTGGCTCAGTGGTGAAGACTCTGCCTGCCAGTGCAGGAGACTTAGGTTCAGTCCCTGGATTGGGAAGACACCCTGGAGAAGGAAGTGGCAACCCGACCCAGTGTTTTTGCCTGGGGAATCCCATAACAGAGGGTGCTGGGGGCTGTGGTCCACGGGGCCGCAGAGTCGGGCATGACTGAGTGAATACACAGCAGCAGTGTCATTAGTTACAGACAAAGTATATACAGTGCATCTCCACAAGGCGTGCATCTCGCAGAATGGAAACATCTTACCTGGTGAGCAGCAGCTCCCCATTTTCCTTCTCCTGCCCCCAGCCACCACAGTTCTACTCTCTGCACAGGTAAGTTTGACTATTTTATTCATGTATATATTATACAGGATTTCTCTTTCTGCCTCTGGCTTTGTTCACTTAGCATAATGTCCTTCCTGGTTCATACATGTCCCTGAAAAGAGCAGGATTGGTTTCTTTTTGAAAACTGAATAATATTTCAGTATATGTGTGTATGAAGTGAAATGAAGTGAAAGTCACTCAGACGTGTCCAACTCTTCGAGACCCCATGGACTATACAGTCCATGGAATGCTCCAGGCCAGAATACTGGAATGGGTAGCTGTTTTCTTCTCCAGGGGATCTTCCCAACCCAGGGATTGAACCCAGATCTCCTACATTGCAGGTGGATTCTTTACCAACTGAGCCACAAGGGAAGCCCAAGAATACTGGAGTGGGTAGCCTTTCCCTTCTCTAGTGGATCTTCCCAACACAGGGATCGAGCTGGGGTCTCCTGCATTGCAGGTGGATTCTTTACCTACTGAGCTATCAGGGAATACGTGTGTATACACCTTATCTTTCTGCATTCATCTGTCAATGGACAACCTGGTTATTGTGAATAATGGTGCAGTCATTTGCCCATTATTTTATCTCGGTTTGGTCACTTGTTTATTTCCATTTTTAATGATCAAGTTTTAAACACTTCCATAGCTTTTGTGGTGATGATAACTGGGTTACAGTAATGTAATTCGTGTTAGTTTTAAAATGCAGTCTTCGTTAGGGAACTGACAGAGAGTAGCATCTGGGGAAACACTGGACAGAGATTAGAGCTCAAGTCTTGCCTCCTTCAGGGACTGACTTCTCTGAGCTTCCCCTCATCCCCAAACAACGAGGGTCCTCAGCATCTCTAGGAGCTGCTCTCCGTGTTCCTGCTGTCCTGCCTCCTCCTTCTCCTCCAGGACTGCTCTGACGGGCTTCCTCCCTCCAGCTCTCCGCCTCCTGAGTTCAGTCTGGGCTCCTCTCACTGGCGCTTTCGCTGGGCTCCTGACTGCCCTCTGGCTGCAGCCTCTCAGCCTCCTGTTAGCTTTCTCCCTGTGGTAACTCATCTGCTTTAACTGGTTCTCCACTCACAGCATCTGAGTGACTTGTATCTCCCTTGGAAGGAGAGTGGCATCCACGGCCAGGCTCTGAACGTCTTTCACTCTCTCCCCTGCCCCCTTCCTCTGCCAGCCTTCACCCCCTGCGTCCACCCCGCAGTCCACACTGCCTTTGACATCATCCAGGAGTTTAGATGAACTCTCTGCCTTCACATCTGCCTTTTTAGGGGGTCTTTCTCTTCCGTTACACCTACCGCTGGCCCCTGGCTCTGGGTTCCTGGCTGCTGAACTGCATTTCCCCAAGGCCTTGGCTTGAAAACCACCGCTCTGCTGATTTCCTCTGACTCCCTCAGGCTGTGCCGTCACTCCTTGTCTTTCTTTTGGTCCTGTGTGCCTTTTCTCAGTGAGCACCTGCCACAAGCTGGGGCACTTATGTCTTGCCTGACGCCCCTCTTAGGCCCAGGGCTTCCTGAGGGCCGGAATCTGGTCTCCAAGACTCGCTCAGGCCCAGAGGTGCATACTGCTTGCACCGGAAATGGAGCCCCAGGGATCTCTGCGGAAGAGCGTCCTGCCTCTTATTCCAGCCAGAGGTCCCTTTCCCAAGTAGCACTATGCCTCCCAAGGACATTCCACCCATACAGCCTTGTCGCCCATCTACTCTCCGGTCCCTGCTCGATGTTTGGGGCATTTTCAAGAGCCTGACCAGCCGGAAGGAGACGATTCACGGACCTGCACCCTCTCCTCCCTGCCCCCGGAAGGGCTCAGGAGATTGTCTCCTTGCTCGGCTGGCTGTGGGTGTTCTGTGAAGGCATCTCCAGGCCGCGTCACTCACCAGAGGCCAGCGGTGAGGCCAGAGAAGGCAGATGGGGAAAGAAAGGCAAACCCACAAACAAAGCCCCATCCAGAGAGGACTCTCCCACCCCCGCAGAAGTGCGAGGCCCTCGGACCGTGCTCAGACCCGGTCACGCAGCCCATCCTCTCCAGTAACTTCCCATCAGAGCCAGCCTTCTAGAGCACGGCAGCTCAGCGCGATCCAGGTGAACAGCGTGGCCCCGGGCACACTGCAGGCCCCGCCTTTTTCCAGGAGGCTGCACCAGCCACACCGCCGAGAGGAACTCGCTCCTCGCAGGAACTCTTGGTGGGTCACACAGGCCGTGCCGCACGCAGAGTGTGCCTGGGCTTCTGCAGGCATGTGCCTCAGAGCCTACCTACCACCACAGCCCCAGAGATGGCCGTGGCTTCTTGTTCTTCCTCTTGGTCGCTCGGGCCCTCCCGCTGGCACAAGGGCCGTTGCCAACGCTCGTCAGGCCCGGAGGCGGGCTGTCCATGCTGGGACGGTCGAGCCGGTCATGCTCCTCTTCGGGCAGCTTGCCGTTTCTCCCTGCTCCGTGTTTGGACTGGTGAATCACGACTGCGCCGGCAGGCAGGGCCGACTGGATCTTCCAAAGGTCGGAGGCCATCTTCAGCCAGTAGGTGTCTCTACTGCTCTAAGCTGATTCCTTCGACCTCTGTGTCCCCCGGGGGCACCTGCGACCCAGGAGCTCTGCCGCTGGCGTCTCCCTCAGGCTCTCCCCAGGCCAGCGGGGTCAGGTTCCCCGGGGTGTGTGGGGTCAGCTGTGATGGGGGCCGCTGCCCCTCCCCCAGCACCCCCTTGCCACGCACCCTCCCGGGAGTAAGAGAGGACGTAGGCGCTCTGGCTCAGGGCAGCACTCTCGTCACAGGCTGTCACCTTGGCATCGTCCATCTTATAACACTGGCCGTTGCCCGCTCGCACGTAAGAAAAGTAGTGTCCCTGCTCACCACTCCACCCGGAGTGCATCAGCACGGCATAGAGCACGTAGCCCAGTGGCCCTGCCTTCCGCTCAGACATGTAGGGCTGCAGGTCGAGGCACTGGGGATAGCGCACTTCCTGAGGCCTTTTGGCCCCGCTCACCTGTGTGAACCGCTTCAGCACCAGCACCAGGACCTGGGACGTGCTGTGCAAAGTCAACCTGTTGGTGGCAGGCACCTTCCGGAGACAAACGCCACAGTCACAGGCGTTTTCAGCGTCCAGCTTCTCGGGCTTCACCAGCTCTCTCAGAGCTTGCTCCACACTCTGAGCCGCAGTGGTATCCAGGCTGATGTCCAGATGAGGGTCGAACGTGTCTGAGACACCGAGGCAGTGGACACACTGGATCTGAGAGCTGCAAGTCCCGCCGAAGATCTGACGGATGAGGGGGGTGTCCTCGGAGGGATGGCCCGACGGCTGGGATGCACTCAAGCACCCTCGCTGCATGGGATTCAGAGTGAACATCAGAAACTCGTGGGCATCTTCCTGCTAGTGGCTGTGGAAGCCCGCCGGCAGGTCCTTGCGGGGCCGGATCACCTCTCCCGGGTGACGGAGGGTTCGGGTCACGTGAGCTCGCCCAGCACAGAGCGTGCAGGAGGTTCGGGCCGGATAGAGGGTGGCGTGCTGCTGGGACACATTCCAGCGGGCCAGGGGTGGCGTGTGGCTCAGACAGTGCAGCACTGCATTCACGTATCAGGTGTTCCCCAGACTCTGAAGCCCAGCCCCGACCCCCCACGGCCCCCTCCAACTCAGGGCGACTTGGTGGCCAGCCGCCAGCCCTGCTGACCCAGGAGCCAAGTCACCCCTCTGGGGCCAACCAAGTGCCGGCGATGACACCTCAGGGACAGAGGGTCCCCGAAGGGCATCCGCACCAGCGGCGCTGGGCCGCCAACCTTGCCCTCCGGGTAAGACGTTGAAGGGAGACGGACACGCACCGCCCCCGTGGGCAGAAGCAGCCCCCGGGTCTATGCAAACAAGGCCACGAGTGTTTCCATCTCCTACCTGCAGCTGCACGACGGTGCCTCATTCCCTCAGATGGTGCTTCTTTTAGAAGGGGCCTGGGCCCCGCCTCCTCGGTCCTTTGATGGCCTCCCACAGCCCCACCCCCGCACGCGCAAGCTCCTCATTGGCTGAGGCGTCCGAGGGCGTGCTCACTCCCATTCCCGACATCCCACCACCGACACTTTTCTCGGGGAATTCCCCATGACGAAGCCCCGCACGCACTTCCAATCTGGCCCTGGACCCAAGGGCTCAGGATGCAAATGATTCGGGGGGCGTTGGGCCTTCCAGACTTGCCTGCTAGAGCGTCACGGCAGGGCTTCCAAGTTCAGCACACACATGCGGGCTGGGGAGGAATTCCGTGGGCTCACCCTTCAGATCCTAACACACTTGTGGAAACATATGTCTGCCCACCTACCCTCTCCCCTTGAGGGCTCTCCCCACCCCAGACCCCTGCCCGAGGACAACCCCTCCCCGGACAACAATAAACCCTTGCCTCAACTTCGCTATCGACTGAGTTCCACTCCAATTTCTGTGCTTTCTCACTAGCCAGTCTTCTAGTGTTCAGGGTCCTAGCACCAAAAGATGCCGGGAATGTGGCACACATGCTTTTCTCCCTTCAGGGCATGGTCCAAAGCGAGCTCCTTCAGACAGCCATAGGCTTCTTCAACTTTGGATTCCTTTCTTCAGCTCCTTTTCTCTCTTCCTTGCCTTTTTGTTTTCCTTTTCCTTTTTTTTTTTTTTTTTTTTGGTTTTTAGGTTTAATTTTTTTGTATTTTGTGCTCATCTTATAATTTTTTTTTTTTTTACTGTTTTTATATTTTAAATACACTAGTTTACTTATAGAGTCAACTTTCCAACTCAGGGGCTCAGCATGTGGAATCTAATTCCCTGACCATGGATCGAACTTGGGCTCCCTGTGTCAGCAGTGTGGAGTCTTATCCACTGGCCACCAGACACATTCCTTTCTAAGTATTGGAAGTGTATTTCCTCATTTAATCTTCAAGTTATTTTCCTGAGATAGGTACTGGAAGCAGCAGAACCATTATTCAAACCCAGATCATTTGACTATGGAACCCATGAGCTTAGTCTATGAACTACACTGTCTCTAAATAGTTGACATATTTATTAGATCCTTTAGAAGTTTGGAGACGCTTCAAATTGGAAAGATAAGTTTTAAAATCTTAATTAAAATATGTATCAATCAAAATATGTTATGTTGCTAGTAAAGATGTACCGTGAATTTGAATATGGCCATTTTATAAATTGGAGAAGTCAATGGCAATCCACTCCAGTATTCTTGCCTGGAGAATACTGTGGCCAGGGGACCCTGGCGGGCTGCAGTCCATGGCATCGCAGAGAGTCGTACATGACTGAGTGACTAACACACAACACATTTCATAAACTGTATGATGAGTTTTAGGAGCCAGGAGATCCAGAGATCAACCCTATTCTTATCCTCCCTTCAATTTGATGGTGAAAAAGTAAAAGGTGAAAGTGTTAGTCGCTTTGTCATGTCTGACTCTTCAAGCCCATAGACTGTAGCCCCCCAGGCTGCTCTGTCTGTTCTCCAGTGAAGAATACTGGAGTGGCATGCCATTCCCTTCTCCAGGGGATCTTCCCAACCCAGAGATGGAGTCCAGGTCTCCTGCACTGCAGGCAGATTCTTTACCGTGTGAGAAGTGAAAAGTGAGAAAGTGAAAGTGAAGTCGCTCAGTCGTGTCCCACGCTTTGCGACCCCATGGACTGTAGCCCACCAGGCTCCTCCATCCAGGGGACTTTCCAGGCAAGAGTACTGGAGTGGTTGCCATTTCCTTCTCCAGGAAATCTTCCCAACCCAGGGATCGAACCCAGATTTTCCGCACTGCAGGCAGACGCTTTACCGTCTGAGCCAGCCATGAAATGGTAACCAATTCTGCAGAATGCTGTCTAGAAATGGCCACATGAGGGCGACAGTTAATAAACATTAGCACGACCCTGACACAAAGCCAGCTCTTCCTGAGTTAAAACTCGGCTCATTCAATATCTACAGATTATTTTTATAGACTATTACAAGTATGACTTTGTTGATTAAAAAAAAACCCCAAATATTTGGAAACTGCTAAATTATTAATATGCGTTTTAAATTCTAATTGAATATATTCAGGTTTAATTAGGAAAAAACTATGATTTATATT